TGTCTGGGTGATGCTGCAGGACCCTAAAAAACTAGAACCATTAAAAAGTTTGGCCTGAAAACCATAAACGAGGAAGGCGTATTCGAGTTGATCAGGAGGCTTCCCCGCGAATCGAGGAGATGGAAAGGGGGGGGCCTTTCCTTTTCCTTTTCTTTTAAAATATGGATTACCATTGTGCATTGTGGTTGTGAGAGATTGTTAGAATTCTGTGTTTTATGTTCGGGTTTCTGTTTCTGTCTTTTATAGTGATGAGGATAATATGATGCTTTCCTGATTAGATATTCTGTTTATTTATCTGTGATTTCTTCTCCCTGTTTATGATGTCGTCTGTTTGCTGTGGATGTGTTCAGCTGTTTGTCTATCTATGGTCATGTCTAATCTTAATCCGACCTTACATTACATTATGTTTAATCCGCTTATAATTTTTAATGATATCTAATAATTACTTACCTATTTTCTAATGTTTCTTGATATCACTTTTGAATGCTGCAGCATTTTTGATATATCAGAGGAGAAATAAAATCTCTCATCAGATTTTGTCAGTTTTATATTGAGTTTTAACTATCCTGTTTTTGAAACTCTGCTTCACGACAATTAAGAATTAAATACATTCTTGTGTCTGAAAGAACTCTTTTCACTCAATGCCTTCAATGTAATGTATCTAATAAATATTTAATCAATGACTTAAAGTTCTCATCTCAGTGAGAATATTCAGTAGATGATAGGGTGTTGATGAAAACATGGAGAAATACACAGTTGCCCTCCACATTTAAGATGAGGAATGGGGACGATATTGAGAGAATATCTGTGACGCAAAAGTAAACAGAATAAAAGAATACAAGGCATCATGCCTAATTATGCTACCAAGATTCGTGATGGAGATGGGGTAAATGAGACCGTTTCCCATCAAGGGCAAACACGTCTACCCAACGTAAACTACAACTACATGCCCGTCATGTCCACATCTTCTCCATCTCCATCCTCATCCTCATTCTCATTCTCAATCTCACCAGCTTCATCTCCTTCAACGTCTTCTCCACCCTCCTCCTCCTCACCCACCTCCACTCTACCCTCCTCTCCCCCAACCTCATCCTCCCACCTAACCCTCTTGTCCCCACTCCCCTCCCCACCGCCGCGCCAACACCACCACCACCACCACACCACCCTCTTCACTCCTCCCTCTCTCCAAAAAACACCTTCCTCCCCCGGCGCCCCCCTAACCATAGCCCCTCACCTCTGCCGCCCAATGACATACACCTCCGAACTAACCCCCAACCCCACCACCACCACCACCAACCACACACTTCCCTCGCCACCTCCTCATCCCCGCCCACCCTCTCCGGAAACCGCAGCAGGGGCGCAAAGTCCTCCTCGAACGGCGGCGTCGTGTTGAATTCGAGCATGTGCTGTATCTTGGCCCGCATGATGGTTTTGGCAACGGCCAGAGTGACGTTGCCGTACCAGCCCGAGGAGAGGATGTCGCAGGCATTTTTACTGTCCAGGGAGGACTGTGAGGTGCGGGGTTTGAGCAGTTGGGCGAGGATGGGGTCTTTGATGTCACAGATCATCCATAGCTTACCGTCGCGGGGGAGCGGGGCTTGGCCTGTGAAGATGTGCGAGGGGCAGGTGGATTGGGTGGATTGGTCGCCTAGGGTTGTGGAGGGGCGGGGGAGGGTTTGGCGTCTGTTGGATGTTGGGGTTGTGGTTGATTTGGTCGCGGGTGGTGGTGCGGGCGCCGGGGCCGGGGTGTTTTCGTTGTCGTTGTCGTTGCCGTTTTCGTTTTCGTCGAGTTGCTCCGTTATGGAGGAGGGGAGGGTGCGAAACATGAAGGTCTGATATATGCAGGAGGACGGGTGGGTGCGGGGATCATGGCCGAATTTCACGATGGCGTCGCGCCAGGGGCCGGAGCGGAAGATGTAGCCTACGTACGGCACAGCGAGGCGGAGGGCGTATTTCTGTTCGTTGGTGATTAGATGGTTGCGGAGGCCGCGGCGGGTCCAGGCAAGGCGGGATTCGAAGAGGGATTGAAGGATGGAGATGGTTTCCTGGAGGGTTTTGTCGAGGGTTGAGATTGGGGGGCAGTTTTCGCGGGGTGCAGTGGGGACAGCGGGGACGTCGCAGGCTACGAGGTGGGTGAGGACTTTGACGATTTGTTGGGTGTTTGTGGTTGTTATTTCACCAGAGGGGCCGATGGACTGTTTTACGGTGGGGTTTTGGCGGTACCTGGGTTGGCAAGGGGTAAGAGGATGGTTCCTTTTTGGGGAGAGTAACTATTGTTGAACAGTGGTCTTTGGGGGGGACATACAAGTAGTTAAAAGGGACATCTCCGCGGCTTAATGCTGGGGGAGGAATGATATCGACGTTCGACGTATAGCCTTTGCTCATGTCGAATTGGAACTCCTTGAGCTTGTCATCTATTGGAGAATAAGCATCAATACGATGAATGGTAGAAGGTACATCCAATCAGAAGGGACACAGCATACATTCGAAAGGCAGGATCTTCTCGCGGAATTTCGTCATAAACGGGCTGGAGGTTGTCGAGTATACGAAATCCGGCATTCCTGACACCGACATCAGCATGAACACTGTAATATATATACACGTATGCATGAGGGATCCATCTGTTTATTGTGTGTTTGATGCCAACATACCGCGAAATACATGCATTCGCTCAACCCGCCCAACAGCTTCGACT